AATCAACCGTAGTAATCACACACCACCCTCAACAAAAAAACAGACACTATTAATCTATCAACCTATCAGCAATCAAGCAATCAATCTTCGACCGACGAATCAATGCATCGATCAATCCATATCAGTCTTCAATCAATCAAACAATCAATCAATCAATCAATCAATCAATCAAACAATCAAACAATCAAACAATCAATCAATCCAACAATCAAACAATCAATCGATCGATCAAACAATCAATCGATAGATCAAACAATCAGTCTTCAATCAATCAAGTGGAAAGTAAAAGTGGTATGTGAGAAGTCGCAAAAAAAGTCGTCTTCTTTGTCTGGAAAAAAAGTCTGCTTCTGGATTGATATATCGATTGGTAGATGTGTTGCTGATTGGCTTGTCAAATGTTCCGCTTGATTGATTGGCTAGTTGGTTGGTTGGTAGATTGGATTATTGATTGATTGATTTCGTAGTTGACTGGTTGACTGATTGGCTAGTCGATTGGATTATTGATTGATTTCGTCATTGCTTTATTGATTGCTTGGTTGATTAAGTGGGTAGTGATTGGCTGATTGATTGATTGAACTGCTTCAATAACTGAATAAGCGAGTGTATCATATCATATCATCATCATCGTCATCTACGTTCTCTCTCTCTCTCTCTCTCTCTCTCTCTCTCTCTCTCTCTTAGACACACACAAACACACATATACAGCGGCCCGCACCTTATTGCCTGCCTGTACCGGTCGCCTTGCCTCCGGACAACAGGCACGTGTCGATCGAAGCGGCATTCATCTTAGGCATGCCACATGTCAAAGCTTCACGCATTGGGCATCCAACGTGGACCCACCCACCACCACCTCCCCTGTCGCACGTGGACTTGCACTACCAACAAACAAAACAAAACGCCTTGACCTGCAGGCAGGCATCACCAATCTTGTCTTGACCGTTTAAAACCGACCAATTATGCGATCATTGCCGGCTAATGAACGGTCGCCGGACCAACCGAGACAATCTGGTCGCAAGCAGACCCAGATCCGATCCCGTCCGACCCGGTCCGATCCGACCCGACCCGACCGGACTCGATTCGATCTCAAGTACGTAATAAGCGACAGAAACGAAACGGCTCAACGCTGTAGCTTGGCGCCCGAAAAGAATTCAATCCTGACTACAAGACCCCACACAGGCTCGCTGTAGCGTGGCGCCTGGAAAGCATCCCCCAGCACAAATCGTACCCCACGGGAATGGCGAAGAGAAAAGGGGCTGCACCTCCACAGCAGATGTCAGCACGTTCCCAGGTAGGTTACCAGTTCGGGAAGACTTGCCCTTTCAGGCAAGTGTGCCTCCTCTTTTTCAGCACACCGTCCAAGTGCCTCCTTTCCGCAGGGGATGGCTGAGGCCTCAACGCGGACAGGACAAACTTTGCCGCCGATCATTTCCGGTACCCCACAACCCTCCGCGGAGTTCTTGGCAGGCCGTTTTTTTATTCCAAGAAAGCTGTTCTGGGACCCCACAACCCCAATCGTCGGCGTGGAAGAACGGGATTTATCGTTTTCGCATGATTTCCGACCTGGAAAAGTAACGCGAGAGACATTGTCGCCGCGATTTTGTGCGGGGTGGGGTGGGCAGGGTAGGGGGGGGGGCGGTCTTGAAGGTTTCCGAGGTCGTGGACGGTGCTCGGACGTTGCTCGGACTTCCGTGTGTCCGTGAGTCCTTTGACATGTGCTCCTGGAACACGCTTGTGTAGACCTCTATGTCGCCCACCTCATCGCGTTGGTCCTATGGTCCTTGCAAAAACCATACGGACACCACCGCACTTTCCTTTGCTGGACTGTCCTATTCCACCTTTCCTTTTACGGGGCCGCTGGGCATCCTGTGGGATCCCCGCAAATGCATTTCCACAAATGCATTTCCGAGCTTTCCAAAATTGTTTGCCCGCTTATCATGGGAAAAGCACTTTTCCATCCGCAAAGCTGTGGGGACCAGGCCTGAATCAAGAGGGGGACCTGGGGGGTACCATGTTATTTTGCCATAATATTTCGGAAATTGGACTGCCATGGAGGAATTTCCCATCATGAAGCTATGTGGAAAGGTCCTCCCAAAGTTTTCCTGGCTGCTCCCTACAGCCTGTGGGGTCTGAAAAAAACCCTTGGTGCCAATCCATACGCTTTTCGGCACATCTGTGGGATCCTGACCTCAGCCGCGCGGACGCCTCCCAAAAAAAAAAAAAAAAAAACAGTTGACGGCACCACTTTGGTGTGGGCGCGCCGCCACGACTGGCTCCCTCCCTCCTCCTCCTCCTCCTCCTACCGCAACACCCACAATCCCGCAGCTAACGGGTAGCTGTGCCTGAAAAAGGGCCAGCGCTATCAGGGCATACTCAAACACTCTTGGCCCCCACTACACGGCGGCTGGAAAAAATTGAGCGAGGAAGGTGAAGTCGAGAACGCTCACGGCGGCCACACTCAAAGTTTTTCAACCGTTGACCTCGATTTGCGACCCCATTGACCGGGAAAAGTGGCTTGGACACTTCCTGAAAAGTGTTTCTACTTTGCTGGTGGTTGGACAAACCACCGCCAGGTGCCGCCAAAGTTTTTCCAATGGCGGTACGAGATGGGACGGGGCTGTGGATGCCAGCCGATGGTGTCGGAGTGCCACAGCTTGTGGTCCAGCAAAGGTCCTTGGGTTCTGTCCAGTGGTCCAGACATCCCAGCAGTGGAATGTGAAGGCATGATGATTGGTCCACTCATGGGCTTGTTACCGGTCGGCAATGTGCTCCTGCTATCAGCACAAATACCCTTACGAGGGCATTTATCCGTGTTTTTTGCGGCTTGCATGAGCCGCATCTGTAGTGATAATTGAGGCAGTGACACATTTATTTTGCACAGCCGTCTACTGACTCTTAGTAACCAGAACGGCGAGCATGCGTATGATTATAACGGAGAGTGTGTGGGCGTGCAGTTGGGGCGTGTGTTGATTAACCAGATGTCTGACGGTTCCATGAATAGGCGGAATGTCCCGTGATCCGACACAACACTGCGAGCTGGAGGAAGGCTAAATTTTTATTAGTATGGTCGCGTGCACACAGTGTGCGCACGTAGAGGCCGACATTGTACTGGCCGATGTCAAGATTAACTATCGGAACCATGGTTCGACGTGATCATCGTTGACTTGTTTGAGGCTGGGTTTGAGTCCGCGTAGCATAAGGACTTCGTAAAGTGCCCTAGTTGTGATGTCCCTTGCTTGTCCGTGGAAGCCTCCTACGACCTCAACAAGGTTTGCGTAAATGGAGTTCGGCACGGGTAAAGGTCGGGGTTTTCGCCACCGAAAGAGTAAAAGTAAGGGTTGAAAGTGACATCCCATGCAAACCTAGAATAGCGATGACACGGCTAAGACACAATAGCTCGCATGCATGGCAGGTGCAAATGAAACCTGACCCTCTGCGCAGTGGGTGCCAAAGTTTGGCAGTTGTGGGTTCAGCTAGTAGGCCAAGGTGAGGCCTTGGGGTAGGTTGGCAAGCCTAAGCCTGAGGCATGTACTCTTTATAATGAATTTCACTCCGGCTAAACCCAAGCTTGGGCCTAACCCTCTTTGTTACGGTATTGGACGTTCAAATGGCGGATGCAGGGATCAAGGCCGGTAACCGAAGAAGAAGCGAAGAAGCGTGATTGAACGACATCAGGGGGTTGTCCTAATGAAGTTGGGAAACGCCATCGTTTTCTGGAGTCCCTTCCTCCTATTCTTCCGGCAGGAATCCCGGTCATCATAGCAGGAGATTTTAACGCCGCTCCAGATAGGTCTCTTGATAGATGGAATATTCCTAATCCCTGTCCTACTTATGTGGAGACAGATGAAATTATGATGGCTAATTTCCTTTGTAATTCAAATCTCTTCGACTCCTTTCGACGCTTGAATCCATCCCAACGATCTTATACTTGTTTTCGTAGRAATCAGGCTAAGGCTTCCACCAAGTCTCGCATAGACCTTATCCTTCTCTCAGAGGATCTAGAAGGTGCGCTCCAGGTTGCAGAAATCTTTCCAAAAAGTCCCCTTAATGGACT